TACTCCGGGTGGGGTAGCTATGCCATCCCGAGATATGATTAATAAAAAACAACTACTCCGGGTGGGGCAGGTATGCCATCCCGAGATATGCTTCATAAAAAACAACTACTCCGGGTGGGGCAGCTATGCCATCCCGAGATAGGTCGTAGTAGTACTATCACATCTCCAACCAATGGGAAGATCAACGTCTCGATACAATACCGAAGGAACCACCTCGTATGTACAGCTCGTGTCTCACGAGTCGTGAGGCACCGACCTCTGTTCCGATACCCTCCCCCGCGGCCCAACCTCCCATACCTGGGCAGTGGTGGCGGCCAATAGAGGTCCTACCAAAAGGATGCGCGCCCCTGGTTCTACTCCGGACCGGAGTCTCCGGTGCACCATCGCACTATCATGACGCCGACGGTTCCCGCAGCCAGAGGTAAAGGCAAAGGCAATGGCAAGGGTAAAGGTACTACCGCCGCGGGCTCGAAGAAAACTACACTGAAGAAAGCCAAGAAGGCCAACAAAAAAACCTGCGTGGTCGAACTCCGTTTGGTTGACGACGACGCCCCTAAAATGGACGCCGCCGAGTCCATGACCCTCCGTAGCAGGGCCTTGGGGCTTTTAAGTGGTTCGGTCATTGTCAGTACCACCTTCCCAATCGAGGGAACTTGCTAAGCTTCTTGTAAGATGCTGCTGCATCATTGTGGCTGTACCAATCCCCCGTAACACACAATATGTCTCTCTGGGCTGAAGCCTTCAGCCTGAAGGAATCCCCCAGCTAAGTTCATGATGAAGTTAGTCCTGGACGGTTAAGTATAATCCGGTCTTGTAAGGCATTGTCCTGCAATTATATCGAGTGTGGTGTTATCTCAATGGGCAGATCACTGACATTCTGGTAGTACGTAAATTTCGCAGTCTTCTTTATAGTGTTACGGCTCTTCCCCATCAGGCCCTGATAATCAGGGCTTGTCCGATGCATAGCCTGTGGTGTAGAGCAGAGGTCCTTGTGCGACAGATTCTTTAATATTTTGATATTCTGAAATTTTTGTGATCGCGCGATGCGAGTCGCATCATGCGACTTTGTGTATATTAGAAAGATTTCATCACAACGTCTCTTTCTTAAAGCTCAGTCACACAACATAGGATTATCCTCCAGTTCGATCGGAGTCAGGTGCCGGTCGCGGACTCC